CTAAGCTTATCTGACATAGAATGGGATTCGGAGGGTATTCAATTGTTATGCGATTGTGGTAATACTTTTGAATTGCGAGAGCGGTTAGATAGGCCTGACGGTTGCGTTTTAGGGTTAGAGGGGGGGCCTTGGTCGATACAGCTACTTCTCTAGCTGAGCAAGGGGCCACCTCTAAGGTCGGGGACAACCTTGTCACCTTCGGTACGCCCGCTTCTGGAGGCGGTTCGACGACAAGATCGCCTCTTGTTGAACTGTCGTCGAAGAGCGCTCCAAGAGATGATCCCGAGGATAGGGACGCGGAGGACTCCGTTGCCAACTCTCCATCTCTGGCATTGTAAGAGGCGCCTCTTGTCCACCCCTTTTAAGCGGTTGCGGACGATACGTACCGTGTGCGCCTTCACGAAGATATGTGGGAAGACGAGGAGGTTCCTGCGGCCGTATATGAATATGAACCGCCCTACGACCCTGCGTACTCCCCCGTTCAAGTGCTCAAGCAACTAAAGCGGCATCAGTTGCCGACTGACTGGGAATATGCCGCTCCTTCCACGGCCGGTCGCTGTGGGTCATGCCCGGTGGGATGGATCATTGTTTTGGTGGTGCACGTGCGGTTAGGCTTTGAATTTCCTCTGGACCCACTGCTGACTGAGATTTTGCTACACCTTAACTACTCTTTGAGCCGCCTTTCTCCCTCTATCGTCTTTCATTCCCTTTGCTACCGAGCGGCTTGCGACCGGTTGAAGAAGGAGTCGTCTATCGATGCCTTCCACCTTATGTACGGCATAGGCGGTTCCAAGAACTGCTGGTCTTGTCGTAGGCGTGACAAACGCATAGGGTTTGTCTATGGGTCGCCAAAGCTGGATTCTCCTTGGTACACGAAGTACTTCTTCGCTCGTCCAAGCGGGAAATGGTACTCGGGTGAGAGCGAGCCACTGACTGGGTATGTGATCGGGAATAAAGATGATTGGGATGCGGGCGTTAAAGGCCTTCACCACCTAAAACCTCATCTGAAGCGTATCATGTCGACCGTCCAGTTTCGCTTACCTCCGCATGGGCATGATAATGCTCTTGAGATCGTTCGGCGTTTTCACGGTTAGTTAGTCTTCTTTAGTTGGAATATGATGGTGATTTCTCATGTCCTCTACTTATGGGCTTACTTTGCAGACATCCGGCGGTATGCCAGCTCGCAGTCTGCCGCCCCTTCAGCGCCGAGCGGTTCGGAGGGGCAACGCACCGCCGGCGGTAAAACCCAATCGCAGTTAGCACTGGGACGCTCGGGGGTGCTGAAGCTAACAGTACCCGCCGGTCAGGGAGCGGGCCGCGGCGCTACGAAGCGCCCTCTAGAAGCTGAGGCGGCCAAGGAGAGTCAGCCGCCCGCGGGGCAGCAGAAGATGAAGGGCATCCTCATCGAGAAGCCGCGCTCCGACCCTCTAGCTTCCTACTCGGCCCATAAAAGGCAGAAGACCATCGAGCTCACTTCTAGTGCGTCCTACTCTCTGCACATGACCACTTCCGTTGAGCCGGCTAAGCGTGCCATGCACGTTATTGCCGAAGGGTTCGCGGTTCCCAGTGAGTATACCCGCGTGACTGGGACTACCGTGCTGACTTCCGACACTCGCCATCTGGCCGCGATGACCGCTCGGTGCTTCTTTGCGGTACACGTATGCTGACTAGGTATTTGACTTGTTTATTTATCTGCTTGCTAACTACTTACCTTATTTTTGTTACGCATGCTCAATTTGGGATTAACCAACTGATGCTTCACAATGACTGGCTGCAAGGCGACCTGGACGACCGCGACACCTGGATTGTGAAGCTGGAGGATCAGCTGGCGGAGGGGCGAGACGGGTTGCGGCAGGAATTGCCTGACGAGATCCTTAAGGAGCAAGAGACCGTCTTGCAAGCCAAAGATGCGGAGATGGCAGTATTTGGTGATATCCTGAGAACATGTCCAGGAAGCTCAGAGTTTTATGGTTAGCCATGGCGTCTATCAGTTGGTCTATTCGAGGTAGGGGATATGCGTCCTTGGGACAAGCCGCGTTGAGACTCATGAAATCGATGCACATCCGCATAGGCCAGACGCATTTCGCACGAAGACTGGGTTTGCTAACCAGGTTGGGTACTTGACCTCCCTGATGAACCCCACTTTGAGCAAGCGGTTGACTTCTTCCTCCAAGGCCATCTGTTTTTCGAGGGAGGCGTTCCTCCTCCTCTGTTGCACCGGCTTTTCCTTACTTTTCACCGCTAAGGAGTGCTCAGCCAGCTCCCTTGAGACGTCGGGCATGTCTTCTGAGCTCCACGCGAACAGGTCTTTGTATTCTTTTAGGAGGGATAAGAGCTCCCGGGCCCGTTCTTCTGAGAGGTGAGATGAGATCCTTACTTTTTTCTCTGGTTCCTCCTCAACGAGGACTACGGCGGTGTCCTCCTCGGCCGCCTCCGGATGCGGATGGCTTCCTCGTGTGTCCACTTGATCGACCTCCAAATACCTTATCGTGGCTTGATAGCATTCCTTTGCTTGCTGCGAGTCTCCCCGTACGCATCCCACTCCTCCCTTCGTAGGGAACTTTAGCATCTGATGGCAAGTGGAAGAGACCGTCGAGAACATAGATAGAAAATCGCGCCCCAAGATGGCATTGTACACGGATGGACAGTCGGCCACGTGAAAAGTCATGAGGTGGGTTTTGGTTGCCTCTGCGCCCCCTATGGTCACCTGGAGTGTTATGGACCCTAACACTCTGACTTTGGACCCAGAGAAACCTACCAGGCTGGTGGTAGACGGCACGAGATCTTGTATTCCCTTCTTCATGCTTTTTAAGGTGGAGTAGAACAGGATGTCGGCGGAACTCCCATTGTCGACCAGCGCCCTGGTGACCTTAAATTTCTTTGTCCGGAAAGATATCACCAACGGGTCTTCCCGACACTCTTCGGGCGCTAGTTCCGAGGGTGCGAAGCTAATCTCAACCTGCTCTTTCATGTGCACGTTCATGCACTGGACAAGTCGCTCTCCTTCAGTTCGCGGGCGTTTGTGCCCGCCCGCGATCGTGATGACTTCTACATCGTCTTTGTCAGCGCGAGCTTGGTGTCGGGGGGTGCATGCCTAGGAGGTGGCGGGAGGCGGTCTCATCTAGGTGACCGCTCTTTCCTGGGAGACCTGGATCTCCGCCGTCGGGGCGTGCGGGATCTCCTCCTTGGGCTCCGTGATCTATCTCTTTCTTCTGCTCGACTTTTGTCGTGCGTCCGGGTGTCCAGACGGCTCCTCAAATCGCCGGGGGCTAAGTACTTGAGGATGGCCTTGAACTCACGGCACTAGGTGGTGTCGTGAGTCGCCAGTTGGTGCCAGTCGCACCACTTTTCATCGTCTTCCCTTCGCTGACGGGGACGCCTCTCCTTCGAGCTGCCCCTCCCTCGGCGCCCGTCGTCTTCCCTTTCAGCGGTAAACACTTCTCGCCTTCCTTCTTGGTTTTTGTATCGGGATTTGTAGTTGCACCTGTCGGGCAAGCATCTCCTTCCTTTTGGCGATCCGCCTTTTCCTTTCTCCGCCTTCGCTGTGTGAGTGTGTGTCCCCTTAGTGTCGTCTTCCGTCGTCATCGCTTCCTCCAAGAATATAGCTTTCCTCACCAAACGGTCCAGATCTGGGCAAGACCCTATGTTGCTTTCTTTTTTGATGAGGGCCCTTTTTAGCTCTCGGCTATGCGTGGACATCCTTAGGTTACCGACGGCCATGCTAGCCGATATTCCCTAGACTTCACACGCTATCGTATTCCAACGGTCGTAGAAATCCATCAGCGTTTCTTCCTCCCCTTGCTTGCAGTTCATGAGCGCTGACACTGTAAGCTGCCTCCTTCACTGTGACGCGAATTTGGACGAGAATAGGGTGGCGAACTGCTCAAAGTTTTCAATAATTCCCTCTGGCAAGGACGCGCACCAACTCCAGCATTGACCGCTGAAGGTAACGAGAAACGCCTTGCACATGTCGGCATCTGAAGCGTTTATCAGCTGCATCTTCAGCATGAAGGCGCTCAGGTGGTCTGTCGGGTCTGAGTTTCCCACCATAAGCGGGTAGCCCGAGTAACGAGAAGTTTGAGGGCACTTGAGTTCTGAACAGACTCTTTGCCAAGGGGTTCTGCAGAACATTTAAGCTTTCGCTTTCCCGTAGGTGGGTCGAAAATGCTATTCTAAAAAGTTGAAGGGGGCGCCTTCTGTCCCGTCCTCTTCTTCAGATTTCCCGCCTTCTGTCCGAGCAGGGCTAACGGGAATCTCTCCTTCTACTCCTTTGCCTTTTTCTTTCCGCTTGCTGGCATTTTCTGGCTCGTCTCTGGCTTTGAGCATGGCGAGGATCTTACCTAGGCTTTCCTGCATGCTAGAGATCTGTTGGCCTTGCTCTTTCACACGTTCCTCCATGTCTCTTTCTTCCTCGACCGTCGGCATTTCCAAACCTCTGATTCCTTCCCTACCAACCACGTCCTTGATCGGAGTTCCGGAGCTCCCGTCCATCCTTTCTTCAGTGCTTCACCTCTGCCCCACGGTGGGCGCCAAATTGTTTGTGCCTAGTAAATACTAGGTGGTTTGTAGGACAGGGGTGATGCGTCTGTTCTTGGAAGGAGGGCGCACTCCAGATCTCTGCAAAACAAGGATCCGTGGGCGGTTACCCGGGACACCCTCCAATGCTTAAGTTAGATAGAGAAGTGTATAGTAATGTGTTTGTTCTGGAGAGAGAGAGAGAGAGAGAGAGAGTAGTTGAGTTTGCCATCAATGCTCTCATGGTGCATTTATACCTGGTGTTGTGGTGGTTGAGTCATTTAATGTTACGTCAGGCGTCCCTGAAAGATCTTCTCCCTAGGTTGACCGCCTGCGACGAGCAATAAATTTCAGTCTTACCCAGCCCGAGGTACGTATCTCAACGGATCTTTGCTTTCTATCATGGTCAGTCGCTTTATGTCAGGCCGTTCTGGACACTCCTTGGGTTTGGAGTCAGCCTAAGACCGCCTGTCACCCTGGTCTCCCTGGCTGGGTCGGATACTCCATTGGGCAACTGGTGGGGAGAAAGTCGATGCTGCCACCCGGTGCCTGAAATTTATGACATTCTAAGGAAAAGCTATGACAAGTTAAATGACAAGCAGCTGCCACTGTTACTGGATGTTGCTTGCTTCCTCCATGGGATGTTGAGATCTAGACTTTTAAACTTTACGAAAACTAGTTGCTACGATGCCTATAGTGATGTAAAGGATCTAATCAATAAGTCACTACTGGTTTGTGTCTATGGCAAGGATGGCAAGACGATTGAGGTGCACGCTTTGCTTAAAGACATGGCTTGGCAAATTGTTAACGCAGAACGGGAGCTTCGAAAGCGGAGCAGGCTGGAGAATCCTAAAGACATCATTGAATTACTGCATACTCTTAAAGTATGGTTCATAGTGAAAGTTAGTTTTCTTATTTTTGTGCTTTCACTTTCTGTCCACGCCAATATGTGTTATAATGTGTGGTTTCCTTTTAGGGAACTGACAGAGCAACTGAAGCCATAAATCTGAACCTTTCCAAAATCAAAGACATGAATCTGGAAGCCAGTGCTTTTCAAGGGATGAACTCACTTAAATGGTTAAAATTATGTTGATCTCAAGCCTACCGGGTGGCAGCATCGACTTTCTCCCCACCAAGTTAAGGGGCCTGCAATGGGATATCTACCCTTTGAGATCATTACCATCGGGATTTTCTCCCAAAAAAAACCTCTAGATACTTGCTCTGCGCTATAGTCATATAGTGAAATGTTGGGAAGGAGAAGGACAATCTCAGGTATATTATATATGCAACACATAGCCTTTACTATTTTTCAGTCTAGCTATCAAATGTTTGTTGATTCCTTCATTTTTCCTTTTTGTGTTGGTTATGATGATGACATGCTGCAAAGCTTGTGAACCTGGTGGAGCTTGACCTTTACGGCTGTTATTATCTCACTGCACTCCTAGACCTGTCCATGTCTAAACATCTTGAGGTCCTCATACTCCATGATTTCAAAAGCCTGGTTGATCTACCTTCGTACGTCAGATATCTCGACAAACTACTGAGGTTGGATGTCGAAGATTGTTGCAACTTAGAGCGCATTCCAACCAAACTTAAGTCTAAGCACCTCAAGTATGTGTTAATGTCCAAATGTTTCAAGGTCACCCATTGTCCGTATATTAATTCAAAGGAGCTAGAGATTTTGGATTTAGATAGGATGCCTATCAGTGTAGCACCACCGGCTTCTATCTACAACAAGATGCAGGCGTGGCATCCTAAGTCTAGATTGCCCAGAGACCATCAGTTTCCCTCAAGTTTCGGCAAGGTTAGAGAAGTTCAGTCTGTCCAACACGTCGATAACAAAGATCGAACTTCGAGGTCAACATCATTTTGAGTCAGCTTTAGATGGGCCAAGGTTTGGGAGGCTGCGGTTGGTTAATAACTCCAAACTGGAAAGCCTGCCCTTTAATATCTGGTAGATGGTGTCAAGAGAATTTGTTGTTAATGCCAGCATGTTGCTTAAAACTTTGCTGGGAAATCTGGAGGCAGTGGACATGGAGGGCTTCACTTGGCTTGCTATAACAAGCTCCAAGCTTCTCAAGCATGTTCCATCGACCATCAACAATATGCAATTCCTGTAGGTTCTCAATTTCTATGGCACGACTATTGAGACCTTGTCGTCATGTATTCAGGAACTAAACGAGTTGTTGATGCTAGAACTGAGCAACTGCTCAAGGCTTGAGTCCATCCCGGACATCATTCACAAACTTGCCAAGCTATCATTATTGATTGTGATGGGGAGCAAGAGGCTTACTTTGTTACCACGACTTCCACCACGCCTCAAGCTTTTGTCTGCGAGATTTTGCAAGTCCTTACGAGCTCTTCCAAGCGACATAGGCAGGATGAGTTGCCCTGTAATGTGGTTTGATTGTTGCTCGCAGTTGGATCGGGCTTTGCTTGCCGACATGGTATCGGGTTTCCTCCAACAAGTCATGCCTCTGTATTCTCAGATATGGTAATATTATCTTTTTGTGTTGATGATTGATGTAAGATTCATTCTTAATCTCTCTTAACAGTTGTTTTTGTTATTGGGTTGAACCAATTTTTTATATGATGTTAAAAGTTGTTAATGGACGTAAACACTAAAGTTCAATGTCTCTGCAGGGTTCTCGTTTGTATCGAGAGAATGAACTTCCGGAACGGTTTCTTTACCAAAGCGAGGAAGGCATGGTCTTTGTAACGACGACCTTGTCTGTGAGCAAAAGATGAAGAAAATCACAGTAGGTGTCCTGACTACTTCACAGCCCCGCGGGTTTATGTAGAAGATGACATGCAGCTGCTACATACATAATGATTCTATGGATGGAGGCCGCCCCGGCAGCAGCATTGGTGCCCGTGTTGCATCTTGGAGGAGTTCTATGTTGGTTGCCTTCGACGATGACAGCTCAAGTTTGTTAGTGTGTGGTATATGATCCACGATTGAACCTCTCCCAACAACTCGAGTTATTGGGATCAATTGGTTCTTGACATGGTATCAGAGCCTTATGTGACCGAGAGGTCTTGTGTTCGAATCCTGGTAACCCCCATTTGTTAAGCACATGGTATGTGGACCTGTACAAACTTCAAGCCCTTGTGAGTGGCTTTCGTTTGAGGGGCGTGTCAGTGTGTGGTATATGATCCACGATTGAACCTCTCCCAACAATTCGAGTTATTGGGATCAATTGGTTCTTGACAGATGTTCATCTGTGGTTTGGAGACAATTTAGATCATCGCCCGACCACGAACGAAGATCAAGAAGAGGAAGAAAAAGAAGACTGGTATGTGAAATATGCCAGGGACACTGTTCTATTCTATTTCTACCATCAGGGTGGCGAGGAGTTGAGAATCAAGAAATGTGGCATTTTTTTGCTCTATTGATTGTAATTTTATAGTTTTGGGTGTGTAATTTTTCTTAATATGTTGGTCGTTCGAATTCGAAGAATGATGGATCGTGCTTATTGAAATGTGTAAATCAAATGAAAGACTGGCGATGAATTGGTTTATAATTTTGGGTGACGGTTTCCTCTACTAATTGATATTAGATAGTTTTGTAATGTATTCATCTTTTCGTCCATATGTGTTATACCTTTGTGGCCTCAATTAGTCAACCCCTGTGCAACGAGTATTTATCTACCCCAGTTTTTGGATAGTTGTTGTTAACTTCGCTTGGGAGAAGAATTTGTGAAAACGTTCACTCTATTTAGTATTTACTTGGCTCTCCCACTCTCTCCAACTACTCATGGAGACATTCCGGTTCTCAACTCTTTTGCCTCAAGTGGTCCATTCAGTTCAGCTACGCGACCCGATAACATGTCAAATTTTGAACATTTCGTTTATTTTGAATTTACAATAGTTTGAACTATACGACCTGGTAGCGTACCACTACTCACAGTCACTGGTACCGTACCACTAGACGGAAATCAGTACCACTAGTGCATTGACAGAGTGGTTTTTTTTTTTTTTTGCAGATCGCCGGAGCGAGTCTGATTGAAGGATTTCATTAGGAAATAGTTTGCCGGTCGGAGAAAGTTTGACAATCAGAGCGAAGAGGCTGTTGAAAATGAAAAGAGAGATAGAGAGAGATATAAATATATTAATTTTAGGATTTAAATTAAAAAAACATGTATTTAATATGGGTTTTTAATTCCCATTTTGTAAATAATACAAAAAAAATTAATAAATTCTTTTTTTTTTGTCATACCCAAATTACCCTTGGATGTGAAACTCACATCCCCAACAGGGGAAGTGACGTTATCCCATCACCCCTTTCCTTTCTCTTCTTCTCCCTCTTTAGGGGTCAGACCGGGGGGCTTTCTAGAGGCCATTTTGAATCCCGACTCATGTCGGGCCGGGTCCAACTAGGGGCCCGATAGGAGTTTAACAACTTTGTTCCCAAGTTACAATATTTTCCCAAAATGCAATAGATTGTTTAGATGTCCCGAATGGACAAGTGCAATAGATTGTTGAAATACGAGAAAGATGGAATTAACAATGCAAAAATTAGTAGCTCCCGAGGAAAACAGTGAAGAATGACAACTTAGGATTCCACCGATAATTTTTCAAGATGAGCTACGAATTGGTGGGCGAATCTGCAGGCAATAGATGAAAACTCAAATAATAGTTGTCACGAAAAGCCAATGAACAATAGTTAAAAACTTAAGGACAATAACTTTGAAGAGAAACTCAAGAGGACAATAGATGTAAACCAACCGATAATAGCTAAACATAAAAGTTTTTAATTGAGAGAGAGGTAAAAGGTCTACCAAATTGAGTTTGGAAGAAAGGTATATAAGTGAATGAAAAGCAAATCACATGGAGATTGTCTACTTGCATTTGGAGAAGTTGGAGCTACTGATAAATAGTAACTCACATCTTTCTCATTTATAATTCAAAAAAGTAATTTTGTATACACCGATTAATATTAAATAACATCATTTGAACAATTAAAAATTATAAACTAAATGATATGATACTTGAATTCAAGCCAATCTCATGAGCTAATTAATGAGTCATTCTCATATATAGAGTTGGTGCACTCATTAATGAGTTGAACTCCAGTCAAACTCGAACCTAGCACAAGCCAAGCATCTCATAAAAAACCCGAGCTTCAAACCACATTTCAACTAGACTCATTTGACCTCTAATTTTTAGGGCTGAGAATCAGTGCGATTGCGATTAATCGCACCATAATTTGCATTTGACCACAACTAAAACCTAGCCATATACGCCGACCACGACCATACTGCAAACGATTTGCGGTTAACCGCATTACTAACCATTCTTATGATTTGGGGACATTTTAGTCTTTGGTTGTCACTGTGTCACGGTTAATAACCGCAAGTAACCGCGTCGGTAATCTATTAAAATGCAGTTACATTTTTTTCAGTTGCAGTTGCGATTAACCCACAAACCACAAAACATGCAATATTGCTAAACACGACCGCAAAATACACTTTTTCCAGTTTTCAGTGCGGTTAACAATTTAACCATAAAATTGCAACCGAATTCCACCCCTACTAATTTTATAACAAAGGAAGTTGACTCACTACTAATTTTATATATATATAAAAACTTCTCACCGGATTCGGATGACTTTCACCCATTCAAACTTGCTACTCAATGAATCGAGACCGTTCAATACAATTCGGCAGCCATGCAAGAAGCACACATACATACTTCACAGACACGGAATCTACACCAAGTGAAAGCAGCAATCACACCACCACACAAGCTGGGGGGAAATAACTTCACTTCACAATCATAGAGAGATCATCACATATTTGACAAAATAGAAGGGGCTGGACATGGTTAAATAACAACAAGAGATCCGTACTTCAACAACTTACTCATCATATCTGGTCAAAGCTACGCCACTAAGTACATGTAAAAAGAACGGAGCATTGTGAGCACTGGGATAGAAGGGAGAGAAGACTTGCCCCTTACAGATGTGTTTCCTACAAACCTACAATCTAAACATCAAACTAGAAATCCATACCCTCGCCACATTATAACTAACTCTCCAAGTTAGAAGAAGAAGAAGCAACTTCCACTTCACACTGGCAGTATACCAGTTCATCCTCCAAAGTTCTCTACAGCTCAACCTTACTCGTCATCATCTTCCTCCTGCCAAGGGAAACCAATGGCGAAACAGTATGGTTTAGGATACAACATTCCAAAAGTTCAAGATCATAAAATGAGAGAGCTACGAATTTGGATTCAGCGTAACCTCTCCGCTGTCATCTTCATTATCATTTACTTCAGATTTGGACTTGTCAGAGTCATCATCACCATGACCTCCAGCCTATTATTCAATACCAATCGAATTCAGGAAAGAAACTGGAAGAACGAAATCTGAAATATAAACAGGAAGCTATACCGGGACTAACTGAAGAAGAGAATAATTAAGCAGTACCTGTTTCTTGTTGTAAGCATCCATGGTCTTCTCATATTCAGCCTTCCTTTTGTCGGCTTTGGCCTTGTAAGGAGCCTTGTCCTGATTTTAACATACACGCAATCAAAGTAAGCGACGGAATGAAAAGCAGAGCATAAACATGAGCAAAAGGCGGAGCCGCAAAAATTACTCACTGCCTCACTCATGGCCTTCCACCTCTCGCCGGCAGCTTTTCCGACCTAAACCGGTTGGAGAAAAACGAAACAGATTACACCAGTGCACCAGAGAAACGATCATTTGAATTAAGCAATCAATCGGTCACAGATCCAAATTCACGGATCGGAATATAATTATCATCCCGACAGATCCATACGCTGGCCACAGAACAGAGTTATTTAACTTACAGCAGCGACAGATTTGTTGTTAGGATTCTTTTCCTTGAACTCCTTCCTGAATTCCTCCCTGGTAGCAGTTGGCAGAAACACAACGGTAAGGGCGAGAGCGCAGATTATGAAGGCCAGCCAATCAACAAGCGGAAGGAAGTTGCGGAATCAAACGAATATATGAAGAACGAAAACCGAAATCGCATACATGAAGACGAAGAAAGCACTGGAGGGCCTCTTAGGCTTGTTTGGATCCTTAACTGCCTTCTTCGATCTTCCAGCCGCTTTCGGCTTCAACCTGCACAGCAAAAGTCAAACGAACATCTGAATCCGTTCCGCCGAACGACGAGAGAAAAAAGAAGAGCAGATCAAAACCAATGGAACTAAGACACTCATAGATCTGGAATCGCAACGAAGCCACAACCGGAATGCAATAAGCAGAGAGAGACAGAGAGATGCAACTCACGCGGCGTCAGTCCTCTTGCCATCAGCCTTCGATTTGACTCCTTTCATTACGATTCGATTCCTGCAGAAGCGAAAAGAAGGAGAAGGAATCAGGACTCAACGTGAGCAGGAAAACGAGAAGACCGAGAGTGGAAACGTCTTCCGGCGCCGGCGGAAGGACTCAGTGCTTACCTGCTGTACCTAGTATTATTTTGAGAAAGAGGCGGGGAGAAGGAGAGCGGGAGCGAGAGAACAAGAGAGAATCGGCGGCAGGAGAGTCGTGATTTGTTTGGGAGAGAAGAGGTTTGGAGGAAAAGAGCAAAAGAGAGGTGGGGAGATAAGAAGGGAAGGGTTGGGAAAGGGTTAAAATGAGAGCAAGGGTCTTTTTAGTAAACACTGAAGAATTGGAAAGCTAAAAAATTGAAATCCCGTGGAAGTCGCGGGCTCGGGCGGGATTTCAAAAAAGGAAATTTAGAATTTGGCCACGTCAGCGATCCGAGTGGTCTTGTTGAGAATGCGATGAGAGTGACTCGCCACTTGCCACTAGGGCGCGTTGGATTGGGAAGATATTTAGATGCAAAGTGGGGCCCATAGATGTGCAACGAATGTGCGGTTGGGGTTCGCAAACCGATATCCACTCTCCTCTTCGTGCGTGTGGCGTGACAGCGGGCGGGTTGGTCGACGCGTGTCCCATATGGAAAATATAAGTGGCTGGGCCGAAGGAAAGAAAGTGAGCCCAAAGTTCTAAATTCTGCAGAATAGAAGGGCAGGCCCACAAGAAGAGAAGCCCAATTACGTGGTATCCTCAGTGACGTATCCGTTGCGTCGTCTGTACCAAGGGAGAAGAGGAAGAACAAAACAAACCGAAACAACGAACGAACGAAAACGGAAAGTTTCGGAAAGAAGGAGAAGGCGCGGCCCTTGGAGATTTCCCGTTCTACTCCGAGATTGAACCATGGAAGGCGACGAGGCTCCGCTGCAACGCCAAAGGTCTATCGTGGCTCCTCTGATCTTCTCCATCGTCGTATTGTTCCAGTTGGCCTCGAGAAGGTTGGAGCTCCTGAAGAGGGTAAATTATCCATCTCCCTTCTCCTCCAGCTCAATTGATTCGAAATTCTGGTCTTGCTAAGATCCGATAATGAAATGGCGATCTTCGTTACAATTTCCCGTATGCTCTTTCTGTGGATCCCTGCGCCAGTCATGGATCCTTTGCGTGTTTCGTGATTTTGGCTATCTGGTTGGTTCGTGTGTGCTTTATCAATTTACCAGGAATTAGATGGCCTAATTTACGGACCTCTTATTTGCTTGACGAATTCATCTATGGAGGCTGACTTGTTGTGTTTACAGAACGCCTCTAAGAGCGAGAAGGAAGTTCAACTGCGTGCCGAAATAAAAAGACTCTACAAAGAGGCCAGCACATTCTCACAGTGAGTGATTTCCTCGTTCATTTTGAGTCATAGATTATTGGTGACTGCATTCGTTTGGAACCTTCTTTCTACCGATATGACTAGACCGATTATGTTCCTCAGAGTAATCAGCATGTGGAACCTTCTTATTGATCTGCTTCCATCTTAACAATGCATATACCAAGTCCCGAGCTTCAATTGTGGCGTATTGTGCTTCTTCAACTCCTCTAGTTATTGTTTACTGAGGGTGCTAAACTTTTTAATGTGTTTATTGACAGGCCATCGACGTTTGCTCAAGCGGCCAAACTTAGGAGGTTGGCAGCTGCTAAAGAGAAGGAACTCACAAACTGTAAGGCTACTGGATCAGTATTATCTATTGCTAAATGTTATCTGAGAAACTTGGAAGATCATTATGATTCTTCAGGCCATGTACTTGGCTGCTCCATAGGTGTGGAATATGATAATTTAGATTGTCATATTCAATGGAGAATCAATGATGTTCAGGAAGGCGTGTTTTTTGATGGATATGTCTCTTTTCCCTAATCTAGACATGCATTTCTGTTTGGAGTTTCTATGCTAAAGAATTGTTATCGATTATTAACTCCGTTTTTGTTTGTGCCCTTCTAGATCAAGAGTCACAGGGCAAGGAGGTGAAAATGTCTTATGATTTGTACTTAAAGATTTTGTTTCTCTTAAAGGTGCTTATGCGCAATATTCTTTTTGTAACTGTTGCTAGATTGATTGATTTGTCATAGCAGAAACATAACCCAAATTCTTGAGCAACTGAGAAGATTTTGATTTGGTACACAGGTTATTGCGTATTTTCTTTTCATTTGTTGGTATTGGAGGGCTCCAGTTGCAGTAGTGTCTCAGCAACTTGTGCAGCCATTTGGTAAGGATTTTTCCTCTCTTATGCGACTCTTCCTTAATCTCCTGCATTAAGCTCTATTCAATGATAGTGTTCCTTGGTTTCATTTCAATCCTTTCATCTATTTACAGGGAAGCTTCTTTCCTGGACTGCTGGTGACCACTTAACTAACAATGTTACGGTAATTCTTTGATATCTCCTTTGACTTTAACCATAACATGTTCTGAATAAGTGTGAGCCTTATGCATTCGAACTACATTTTTCTTTTTGGTCACCCTATTGTTCTTTCCTTATAGTCAGTTCATTAGAGTTATTACCAGCAGAAAGGGACCTCCAAAGCCTATCCTTCAGATCCGACATGGTTGTTTCTTTGCTAACAGGTTTCGTGTTGAAATGTTCAAATCAGTTTAGAGAGTGAGGAATCTAATGTTCCTTTGATGACAGGCTTTGTGGTTGAAATCTTCTGTTCAGTTTAGACAGTGATGAACCTAATGTTCTGCCTTCATTTCCCCACTTTTTTTTGCTTGATGAATCTTGAAGACACTTTTTTCGATTCTAGCCTTTGTATTATTATGAATTCATAGTCTTTTCGATTTAAAAGCTTAAGCTCTCGACTGTTTTTTGACATTGTATGTGATGTTGCTGCAGGTTGGTGTTATACCTTGGTTGATATTATCTACCAGGGTCAGTAAATTCGTTGCTCGGATCCTTAAGTAGAACAAGTTACTTGATGAATACAAGGACAACTGATCATACTATACCTTCGATTGAAACAAAACAACTGATTGCACATCTTGCATTCTCGTGTAAGCAAACAGGATGAGGGACTTGGGAGAAGTCTGTTCCCTTGTATCAGAATCTATAAGAGGTCATTTCTTTCTTTCTTTCTTTTTTTTTTTTTCCTTGATGAACTTGTATATTGAAGTTTTGGTATATAGCGAGCCCGCAATAGTGATACTTGCGAGACCTTTCTCGGCATTTTGGCTTAGATGAAGTGTAGTATTCTTGCGAGTTTTCCTTTACGGAAGTGCAAACTTCAGGTTACCAAAAAGAAGTGCAAACTTTTTTTTTTTTTTTTGATAATGGTGAAAATTGAATTAATGAGGAAACAATAAACCACAATCCAGAAGGCGGGAATAGACGTTCACAAGAAGCGAACCCCTGCTGAAAGATAAATACAAAGCAAAAGAGAACCAAAAACTACAAAAACCGCAGCTAGGTGGAGCAGACCACCCCTGAAGCGGGAACGGAAACGGAGCCGCTACCACAGCCCTGCACAAGCGACAGAAAAAGGGGAAAGAACTAGAAAAAATACATGGGAAAGCCCCCTCATCACCAAAGCAAAGGGAGCAAGGGGAGCAGCCCCTCCACCCCTTGACGAGGCAGGACTACCGGCACCGGAAACTGCTACGCCGCACCAAAACAGAAGATCCACCGGACCAATAAAGCAGCTGCAACATACACCAAAACAGAATACTAATGCGCACCAGCCCCCTCTGCTACCATCGAGCTAGCCTCCCCTGGAGTCTGCAGAGCACTTCCATGAAGATGAAGATGAGACCTCAGCCATACTGCCCCCTGATCTCTGTCGATTTTACCATGGGCGGCAAACTTCAAGCTAACAAGTAACAACTATGTACCTTAACGCAAGATTTTGGCGCTTTTTTCTTTATTTGGGGAGTGAAATTATAACTGTTGCAATCCTTAGAAACTCGATTTTTTATTTCGTGTCGATCTTGATTTGGTTGATTGCTTTGTGATTCCGAGTTCTAGACAATATCTCCAAACATGTCCGCTAGAAGAAAATGCTAAATGCAGAGTCTTATGCTTCACAGGTTGAGCGTAGAGTTGGCTTAAGAAACATGTTTACTGATATTATTATTATTATTATTATTATTATTATTATTATTATTAGTCATTTAGTCCTTTAGGGTAGGGCTCAAGATCAGGTTGGTTCTTATTACCCGATCAAACTGGTCGGGTACTCGAGCTCGAAAAAACACAATATGAGGAATCAGACCCGACCTCAAAACGGTTATCAGGTACCGAGCACCGAAGTTGCGGTTATTGGTTCAGATTCAGTCACCCGAAAAAGCACATTAGAATCGAAAGCAACTTGAAAACAAAAGGTGTGTTCATGAGAAAACAAATAACCAGAAGCTGAAAAATTAAACATACACGTGGAACCACTTTCTTGTTCATGAGAAAACAAAAGGTGTGTTCGGAAATTTGTTGCAAAGCTCCTCCCAAGAAGTGATGGAATGATGGGGCTGACTCATGAACCACTTTTTGGATTCCCCAACCAGTGAAAAGAGAAAAAGATGCAGACGAATCATTTCCCTAACAGCCTCATTCACATTAAGCCATCAATCGGTAATAGGAATTCCTCCACAAGATGATGAGGTATTTCATTATTCGCCCCCTTGAACTCGGTAATCAGTCTTGATCAAGGAAATCATACCTGACGTTATGTCGCATTCTTGTTCCATTAGGTCTGGGTATCGTATTGGAGACTGGATGTCCTTAATCTCCAGACAAGAGTAGGATCTCATTGTTTTAGGCCTTGGTGGAACTTGAGATTGTTGTTTGTTGATCCGTCATTAGTGGAGGTTGATGTCTTGCAACTCTTCTTATGTCCGAAGGGTTCTCTCGATTTCTGTATCCAGAGAAAATATCTCCAAAGAATCCCTTCTTTGCATACAAAGGTGCTACAACACACAAACTCAACAACTCGTGACACACAAAGTTGGATAACAAAACACAAAACGAAACAAACTACGAAGGTAACAAAAACACAAAACAAAACAAAGTAAAGGCTAAACTAACAGCTTAATAGTTTTCTACTATTACCAAGGGTCCCCGGCAACGGCGCCAAAAAGCTTGATGGCATTCATTTGTGCATATTATTGTCAATGGTTAGGACGTGTCAATAACTATTCCATCATAGGCCAAGTTTAACCTAAAATTGCATTGTCATATAGTGGCAATCAATGTCGTATTCACTCGGGTCCTGTTACCCTAGCCTACTTCCGACGTTGTTGTTATCTAGCCGATTTTAAATAAAGAGAAAAGCATATACTTTGGGTAACTATCCTTCGCCCTTGTTTAGGACTACTATGCAATGTCTGGATAGTTAGGGTTTGTCGAATGTGGTGAGTGAGCTATTTTCTGTGGGCTTTCGTGGTTATCCACACGCCTCCCCTAAACCCATGTAAGTCGCCTCGATCTAGGATATCGTATCTAGGGTATTAAGCTCGTAGCTCCTTTCAATGGGTACTACCCACCGTCAACACCGAGGTTTCATCACGGGTTTCATCTAGCAAGGCATTCCTATGGCAGGGGTTCGACCGCCTCGTCCACCATAGGTTCATACATCTAACCTCAATTTGCTTGATGGCGCATACCCGACTAACCCTAAAACTTCATACCTAGCGTACAAGCTCAAGTAGGCTAGTAAAGAAGATTAGGGCAACTTACCCAAACACAATCAAAGCTAGAAAAACATTCAAATCAACTAGATAAACACATTCATTCATTAAAACCAAAAAATATTCATTCATTAAATAGTAACCCTAAAACTAGGGTTTTGGGTTTAGAACTCCTAGTACCTTAGAGGACTACTTCATAAAGGAGAGAAGAAGATACATAGAAGAGGTGGAAAAATGCTTGATGTTGAGAAATATGACTCCTCTCCTCTAGCTCCTTCTCCTTCTTCTCTCTCTCTCTCTCTCTCTCTCTCTCTCTCTCTCTCTCTCTCTCTCTCTCTCTCTCTCTCTCTCTCTCCTCTCTCTCTCTCTCCTCTCTCTCTCTCTCTCTCTCTCTCTCTCTCTCTAAAACCAGAAATTCTATCTCAAAACCAGCTCCCTTAATGGGGGAAAGGAGTCTTCTTTTTATAGGCATTAGAGGAAGGAAAAGTTCGCGGTCAGGAAGGGCAAAGATCGCGGGCGATCTTCTTCATGGAGGTCATGATCTTGCGACGCTACCGTTTTGGCCTTTGAGGACAAGGAGTTCGCGGGCTGACTTCATGGTCGCGATCCACGAGTCGCGACCGCGAACTTTCTAGCAATCAATTTGCACTATGGCCGTGTTCTGACTAGGGAAACTCTATGTTTCTCCTCGGCTGCTTCTTCACAAAGTTCGCGCCCTGAGCCTTCAAATTCGCGGTCGCGATCTTGGGCTTCCATGCCGCGATCTTCACCTTGAGTTCGCAGGCTATGATCTCGGCCATGATCTTCTTCTCCAGGCTGCGATCTTCAGTCTTCTACCCCTTTTGCTACACTTGCGTCCTTTTTTGTACCTAATTCGCATGTATTGTCTAAAGTACCGTAAAATCACATCAAAATCAAATAGGAACGAAATAGGGATGCAATTGACACTGTTCAAACAATTATGGACATGAATTGACACGAAACAAACTTTAATATGAAGGGTAATAACACCAATTTAGGTGTTATCAATTATATTTTTTTGTCCTGTATTTTTTCTCACATAAATTGGAGATCCAATAAATCATTATGAACTCGTTCCTTCTGTGCAAATTTTTCAAAACGATTTATAAACGAGATACCAAATGGTATGAAGTTGGTAACGAGAGGTATGGTTTTTTTTTCTTAAAACATATTGAAAATGTATCTCATATCACAACGAACTCGTTTCATCTGCGGAAAAAAAATCCAAGTTAGAACGAAGAAGATAAGAGCAGATTTAAGAAAACTAAGAAAAATAAAAATCTTTCTCAACCTTTCGATCTGAATTTGCTGGGCTCCCTAAAATCCAAAGATCAGATTTAGTTATGGAAGAATGCATAACCAAGATTATACACCCTATCTTGAGCCCTAAAAGTGTGTCAACTCACGATTTATGGATCATTTCAGAGAACTTACCTTCTCCTATCAATTGAAACCGATACGAAACTTACCTTCCTCTATCAATTCAAACCGATACGAAATGAGATAGTTCAAATTGTCTCGCCCCAAATTGTAAGGGTCGTTTGGATGGGTCTTTTGTATGAAGCAATTTGACCCAATTAACTCAAAATGAGACAATTGAGCTAAATTGCCTCATTTGACATCACAAAATGAAAATGAGACATTTTGAATAGGGGGAATTACAATTGATCCGTTAGGGATCATTTAGAATTACTTGGGGTAAGGGTAGGAAATCTCAATTCACCCGTTTATTGGGGCCCTTTGCTTTTTATTTATTTTTCCTTCTCTCTATTGCCGAGACCCACCCTTCCTCTTCCTCTTCTCCTCTATCCTGCCGACTGTCCTTCTTCTCTTCTCTTTCCCCATCTCGCATATCCATCCAAACGAGGCATTGTGAACAGATTTCCTCACGAGATTGACTCATTTTAAAAAACGAGTCTTTTGGTGCAAATTGTCTCATTTTGAGAATGGTAAATGGTCCATCCAAACGGCCCAATTTTTGGCTCAATTGCTTATTTTGAAACAACTTAACCAAATCGTTTCATCGAAATAAAGCAAGACAAGTACAACAGTAAAACAATAGCAGCTCGGTCAAGTTTAGCTGAATCAACCAATACAACCACGCAGTAATATGGTATCCCGGGAATGTCATCATTATTGTTACCATTAAGAAAGCTAGGCACTTAGGGGAAGGGGGGAAATTATAAAACAGGATCTGAGCCTTCTTCACTGGCATCAATGACATATACTCGGGCCAAATAGGCAAATACCCTGTTCTACTAGCTAAACCCAAGCTAAAAATCTCGTTTGCAATAACTGACATGAATTCAAAACGAAGTTAAAGGATGATTGATTCTTCCATGGCAATGGTCCTTATTTCGCTTGGAGAAGCCATATATATAGCCGGTGAAAGCAAGACTGACAATCATAAGCACTCCTTTACCTTCTGAGCATCTAGAAGTAGTTGCTCTTGTAGAAGTTCTTGAGAAAATCGGACGTCCCTTCATCCTTGCTTCCTAAATCCTGCACAAGTCCTCGCTGGCCCACTACATATTGCCCAATGATATGGTGACGCTGCTTTGAGTGCTGCACAATGTTGTGCAACTCTTCTGTACCCTTCTGAAGCAGCATGTCAATCACCTGCAAGTTTTTTCTCCATCAGCGAGCAACAATACAGCATAATTTAGTGAGTGTCTCCAGATATGAATGTGCAGAAAGATTGATGATAACCAAGCTAATGCTTTCTCGCTACTCCAATCCATCTACGGACTCTGACGAACAGATCCTCAGGATTGCACAGGAAAATTGACAAACACAGTTCAGATACACACGTTTGATGGAGCAAGAAAAAGAATGGTGCAAATGCAACAGACAAACGGCGGGAAGGAACCCAGCTACTTTATAGTGGTACTTATGCTACTGTCTCAACAACCCCAAATTATATGCATGCAAGCATTTCAGAATGCCTCTGTGCTGCCTGTTGCGTAAAGCCATTCAGCAGCCCAGTAAAAGTAACTCAACTAATTTTTTATAATCGAAATAAAGTGAATTGCATTTGGATTTGTTTTATCAATTAATTTGTCAATAGATGGCATAATTCAAAGATTTAGAGGATTCAATTCTACTTGCCAACAGTAAATGGATAGTGAGAAAGAGCCTTCTCCATCCCACATGTGGCTAGAGTAATTCTTGACCAGGGAGCACCAACCCATGCTTTACCACATTAAAAAAATTTCTAAAAAGATTGCTAGTTCACTTAGTAATGCATGTTCAGATCATGGTTCTTCTTTTTTGGTCATGAATAATGCTTCTTTCTTCTAATCATGGAAGTACAGATCATGCTGTTCCAATCGTGTCACTTCCAAAAGCTCGCAATACCAAAAAAAAGCACAACCCACTCAACTTGCCAGATGTTGATTTAAGCATTCTGTTAAGGAATTTTATTCAACTTGGTAGAAGTTTTTACTTGGGCACTATCAGTTAACAGCTTTCTTCGCCAACTTCCTTCATCTTTCAAGCAGTTCAACTTCGACAGTGCACACAGATTACATGCGCACCAACCACAATCTAGCTACATCAACCATCTGGTTAAGACGAAACCTTCTCGACACCATGGCCTATCTTCCATGGACTAATACTCTAAATCCGCAATTGCCACTGACTTCAGAAGGAACATAACAGTTACTGCAAGGAAACCCCATCAAACTAGGGACTAGGAATTGCATGGATAGATTAACCTAAACCAATACGACATAGATTAACAGGCAATAGGAACGACCCAAGCTGCCCCAAGTCCTCTCTCTTTCCCCTAAAGCATGGCATGAAACTTAAACCAACAAGGGAGCCATAACCTTTCAATTAATGGAGGACACTTGACTAACGTTGAGAGTCAGTCCACCCACGCGAAAAGCAAGTACATTTAAGAAGATTATGTGATGGTAAAGTCGCTTCACTGAGGCAATTCAATACTTAGGAAACAAAAGGCGAGATTGCGGAGGACGCCATAACCGCAGATCCCCAATTAGGGCAAAAAGCATTGGGAGCCATAAGATAGAAATGAGAAGAAGGGGAAGGAGAACCTTGGGATTGGTGATGTGAGCGTGCCTGCGGATCTCGGAGGAGACGGCGGAACGGAGCTGGGACTCGTTGACGACGTCCTCGAGATTGTAGATTTCCATGACGGTAGGGATGGATCGGCAGGTGGTTTTGAAGAATTCGAACACCCGAGCCCTCGCCTCGGCGAGGCTGGCCGAGTTCGCCTGCACCGTCACGAACTTCAACGAAGCAGCTGCCGCCCTCTCACCCATTTCTCCGATTTTTTTCTTGAAGCACTCCGATTCCGGTAGACTTGGTTCCCTCTCTCAATCCACACGACGGGGGTTCCCTGGACGTGAGACGATGGCTGGTTGCGGAGAAGCTCGTTTCGCGAGCGAACCTCTAGACTTATAATTGTTACGACGCAAGAGCATTTGGTGGTCAAAATGGCGAAACGACACCGGATGGTCTACACTAGGTTGTCAGACCGGTTTATACTATTGAGCCGGTTTAGAAAGTGTAATGGTTCAACTCGTGACACAGCCGGTTTATAGGGTTTAACAAAGTACGTAAGAATGTGAAATCAGGGTTTAGGAAGGTGTAGTTCTGCTTACACTTAGGCGAGCCTAGGTGCTAGATAGTGAGAGAACGTCTCGCCTAGAACCTAGGCAGACAATTAACATTCGAACGCCTAGGCACCTCCTAGACGGAGTTCCGCCGCGATTAATCGGAGATAGGCGGTCTGGTGACTAAAGAAGAAAAATAAATAAATGTATTAAAATGTCTCAAAACGACGTCATCCTTATGTTTGATTAGTTACTCCCAATAACCCATCCTACACATGCCTTCTTGTTTGATTGGAATATTAAAAAAATAAGTCAACATGGCTCTTTGAATTGCAACGATCTCTCCCATGCCCCAAAATTTAACGTATGCTACTAGAGTGCTTCTCGTCTCCAACATTGGTTGACCCGATGCTCTGTCTATTATTAGCTACCATCGATCGCTAAACAACCAAAACCACGTCGCCATATGTACTGATTCAGTTCATCTCCCATTTGTATCTAACTTCAGTCAACCCAACCTTCTGTCTTACTATATACCATTGCAGTATGTAAATTTTTTTGATCTCTTAAAATGCCTAGGCACTAGGCAAGACCCTAACGCCTGCCTAGCGCCTTCTTTAACCTTGTGAAAAATCACTAATATCAAATGAATTTAATCATGTATAAACCATATTTGAGGACAATTTACTTTCAGTTCATATTCATATTTAAATAAAATAGGATATTTCAAATTAAAATACAAATACTCAAATTTAAATACAACATTTAAAGTTAATATCAACATGTTTATACTTGAATCCAACAAATTAATCTAACATTTAAATTTAAAATTCATAAAATAATAATAACTTAGTTTTTTTTATTAATTAAGTTCACCAAAATAACATCATTCTATAGTAAATTGATCATACTTAGTCAATATCATACTGGTAGTGTTCACTTCAATTTCATGACCCATCAGTTTAACAGGTACGACCGGCTCAGTTATTGCCAGTGCCACTGAATGAGTTGATGCGGTTTGTATAAATTCACTAGTTTCTGTGTGGCTCTTTGGGTATGACGAACTGGTGTGTGTTTGTGACATAAGTTTGTCAATTTTCTAAAATAGAATCAATAACGGTAGGTTAGCTAATCTTAATATGAATTAACAACTAACAAGTATTTAGTGTGATTTATGATATGAATTCACAAGTTCCTGGTATGCATTGTGTATTTTCACCTGGTACGAATTTTTCAATCTAGTATGGCACTTTCAACCTGTTGGGCCATAGGGGATCGCTGTCTAAACCAAGGCCCACGTAACCAGAGACGGCCCAAAGGGGGAAAGCCCAAGGTAAGTAAGTCAAGGAATGGGCCGGCCCAAGGGACAAAGAGAACAGGTATAAGGCGCTACCAGGTCAGGCCTGCAGGAGGCGGGTAAGTACGACCAGAAAGGAGGGATCCACACCAATCATGCCATCACTGACACTTCATTAAATGCCGCCGCGAGCGTGTGGCACAGGAGCGGGAAAACACACGACTGACAAGACACTCACACCCACCACCTCGGACTATAAATAGCAGCCAACCACTTCATTAAATGGTAACTGATTTCAGACACTCTCTCTCTAAACTACTTTCTCTCTCCCTGTCTCTAACTTAGTCATCGGAGAGTGTTCGCGGGCTACGCCCCGGACCTTTTGTGCAGTGAACGCAGCACCCGCGCGTCAAGGAACAACGGTATTCTCCAAAGGTCTCTCCTTTCCCGCCTGGCACATTCTAGGCTTAAACAATTTGGCGCCCACCGTGGGGCCGGAAGAGAATATCGTTCTCCTTGAAATGTCGGGTGACTCCATCACCCCTATGAAGGAAGTTGTCGAGCCTATCACGATGCGTGGTTTGTCGCCCACGGTCGAAGAGGAAATAGAGCTGGAAGAGAGGGTGAAAAGTCAAGGGGAGCAAATCACGCAAATGCGGAGCAGCATAAGTCAGATCCTGTCATTGATTAAAGAAGGAATAAGGCGCCCCGAGGCCCCAGGCCCGTCCTCCACGCCGGGGGATAGAGGAAAGAAGAAGATAGTAGAAGTTGAGTCAGAGGACGAGGAAACTGACGATGAAAGGCCGGAAACCGACCTGAGTTTCCTGGAAGAACACCTGCAAGCAAGCTTCGGGAAGGGAAGCGGGAAGACAAAGGGGCCGAGCATCCTACACAACCCCCTCTCAAAAAAGCTATTCCGGAATCCGGTTCCCCCGAACTTTTCATCGTTGGGCCTTCCGGCTTACAACGGGGACACCGATCCGAACGACCATCTGAGTGCCTTCACGCTGAAGATGCAGCTTATAAACGCCTCCGACGCGGACCTCTGCAAAGCCTTTCCGATAACCTTCGGAGGGCGGTGTCGCACGTGGTACACGGCACTCCCCGAAGGAATCATAGACAATTTTGAGCAGTTCGCAACTCTGTTCACATCGAAGTTTGCTTCACAAATCCGCAGGCGTCTCACCGTCACCGCGCTGATAAATTGCACACAGAGAGAAGGGGAGAGTTTGACGGCATTCTATGACCGATGGAATACCATCGCCAGTGAAATCCAGGGCGTGACCCCAAATGTGGCGGCGGGAAGTCTAAGAATGGCCTCCAAGAGCAAGGAGCTTCAACGGGCGTTGATTAAAAAGGAGCAAGACATCAAAACCTGGCCGGACCTGGACAATCTAGTTCGCAGAGTGATAACACTGGAGGAAGCATTGGTGGCAACAGATCGGGGAGGAAGAAAGGAAGTAAGAAGGGGAAACAGATCCCCATTCCGAAAAGGGCGGTCCCCAGAACGGAACCACTATAAGGGGAAGGTGCGAGCGGGGGAGAACAAAAGAGAGGTATACACGACTGAAAGGGAGAAGGAAGACGCCCATCAACGCAGGCCCAGAGAGGAGGGGCCCCGCCGCGATACTCAAAGACGTCCCGAAGCCCCGGTGTGTTCAGAAGGTGGTGTGATTGGCACCAAAAGACCTCACATAACACGGTGGATTGTCGAGATTTCCAAATGAGCATCGCCAACCTTGCACCTGGAGATCTGAGGAGTAGACTGGAAGCAAAGAAACACGAGCGTGACGCCAGGTCGCCGTCACTCAGGCGTTATCGAGTAGATCCCCCAGAAGGCCACGTTCAAGGTCGAGGGCAAGGAGGTCAAGAACACCCCGAAGGTCAAGGTCTCGCGATAGGGGAGGAAGAGAAAGGCTCCCATCACCTCCCAACGCGCCCCCACCAAGGAGGCAACCACGCCTAGACGATGACGACCTAGAAATTATCACCATCGCTGGGGGAAGAAAGCGACCCGTGTCGCGAACATGGAGAGGCGTGCTTAACCGTTTCTTCCTCACCTACCGCCGAAGTGGTGTTCGAAGCAGCAGAACTGGCCAGCCCGGAAGCAGCAGAAGATCCTCTTGTCATATCTTTCCGCACAGGGAAGTACAAGGTGACGAAAACGCTCATCGACAACGGAAGCTCCGCTGACATCCTCTTCTTCTCAACCTTGAAGAGTATGAAGAAAGGAGTCGAAGACCTCAAACCGTCCTCAACACAGCTAGTGGGGTTTTCGGGATCGAAGATCAAAGTCCTGGGCATGGTCACATTACGCGTAACGATCGGGGAGGGGAACGTAACCAAGACCAAATCCATGGAGTTTTACGTAGCAGACTGTCCCTCGGCTTACAATGCCATCTTGGGGGGAGAAGCTTCCTTTCAGTCTTCGGAGCGGTGGCATCCACCTGTCATCAGAGGCTAAAATTCACAGTGGGAAAAGGAGTCGGCTGCGTCAAAGGTAACACGCAACAAGCTCGAGAGTGCTACCAAGCAACTATCAAGCAGCTGGAGGTAGATTTGGTAGATACAAGGGGAAACAACCCAAGACCGGAAGCATTGGAAGGAGATGTAGCGGTACCCTTACGAGAGGATGAGCCCGAGAAAACGGTGCGCCTATCGGCCCACCTTCAACCCGACCTGGCAGCCAGCATGATCGGACTCCTCCGAGAGTTCGCCGACCTTTTCGCATGGGGGCCAGAAGACATGCCGGGCGTGCCGCGCAAACTTGCAGAACACCATCTGGCGGTGAAACCAAACACCCGCCCGGTAAAGCAAAAGCGGAGGAATATATCGGTGGAAAAGCAGATGGCGTTGGAAGAAGAGATACAAAAACTACTCAAGGCGGGCTTTATCAGGGAGGTGCGTTATCCCACCTGGCTAGCCAACCCGGTGTTCGTCAAGAAGAGCTCAGGCTTGTGGCGTATGTGCATTGACTTTACAAGTCTCAACAGTGCCTGTCCCAAGGACGCATACCCGCTCCCCAGAATCGACCAACTCATAGACGCCACAGCAAACCATGCCATGTTGAGTTTCCTCGACATGTTCTCAGGCTATCACCAGATAAGCCTAGCAGAAGAAGATCAAGAGAAGACCGCCTTCATGACAGCAACAGGGAACTACTGTTGGGTGGTCATGCCGTTTGGCTTGAAGAATGCGGGAGCCACTTACCAGCGTATGGTGGACGCTGTGCTACGCCAAAAGATAGGGCGGAATGTAGAAGCGTATGTCGACGACGTATTGGTAAAAAGCAAGGAGGTGGAAACACACCTACAAGACCTGAGAGAAACGTTCACGAATATGAGGGAGCATGGGCTGCGCTTAAATCCCACCAAATGCGTGTTCGGAGCTGAGGCGGGAAAATTCTTGGGTTTTCTGATTACGAAGCGTGGAATCGAGGCCAACCCCCGGCAAATTGACGCCATTCTGCAGCTGAAAGCCCCCAAGACTATCAAGGAAATACAAGCCTTTAATGGAAAGATGGCGGCATTAAGTCGGTTCATACCTCGGTCCGCAGACAAATGTTCCCCGTTCTTTCAGATCCTAAAGAAGTCGGCAACCCGCTTTAAGTGGAGTGAAGAGTGCAACGAAGCCTTCATACGCCTTAAGGAGCAACTAGTGGCGCCACCCGTGCTTAGTGCACCACTAGATGGGGAGCGTCTCTTTCTGTATCTGGCGGTCTCACATCAAGCTACAAGTTCAGTACTGGTGAGAAGGTCTGAGGACGGTAAAGACATGCCTGTCTACTATGTCAGCAAGGCGTTGCTCCCAGCCGAGACTCGGTACCTGGTAATCGAGAAGGCGGTCCTCGCAGTCGCCATGACCGCTAGGAAAATGCGACCCTACTTCCAAGGCCACCCCATCACAGTCCTCTCAAACCTACCGCTCAAGAAAATACTACACGGAATGGACGCCTCCGGAAGGATGACTAAGTGGGCAGTCGAACTAAGTGAGCATGATATATCCTACGCCCCCCGGCCGGCGGTAAAGGCCCAAGTCTTGGCAGATTTCATTGTTGAAGGATTCACCTTGGATGATGGCACGCACAGGGGCAACCAAGCGTGGAAATTGTCAGTGGACGGGGCAGCAGGAAAGGGAGGCGCCGGAGCGGGAATAGTCATCGAAACACCCGAGGGCGTTATCCATGAGATCGCCATGCGCTTCGACGCCCTGAAGACAAACAACGTTGCCGAGTACGAGGCGCTGATTAACGGAGTAAAGGTGATTTCAGGCATGGGAGCCAAGAAAGTCAAGATTTTTTTCCGACTCATCGTTGGTAGTGGGTCAAATAAATGGGAATTTCGAGATCAAAGAGGAGGAGTTGATGAAACTAGCCGGGAAAGCGCAAGGAGCGCTGGCGCAGATGGAGGATTGGTCTTTAGAGCATGTCAGGCGCGAGGGCAATGCACACGCCGACGCGTTATCAAAGCTGGCCACCGCCATGGACTTTGAGGGTGAGAGACAAGTCACGGTAATGAAAGAAGTAACGGAGATAGGGGACGAAGTTCCCGAAGGTAGTCAAGACTGGCGAACCCAAACTGGTCAACTTCCTTGAGCGGGATGAGGTACCTGAAGATCGACTGCCAGCCAAGGCACTTCGTCGAAGGCGGCCCGATACACCTTGGTGGGAGGCGAACTACATAAGCGCTCTTTCACGGGGGCTTACCTGAAGTGTCTGGGGGGGGGGGGGGGGAAGAGGCCGACCAAGCTCTGAGAATGATACACATGGGCACCTGTGCCACCCATGTTGGCCCGAGGAGCCTCGAACGGGCTATCTTCCTGCAAGGATATTACTGGGCCTACCGTCAAGAAAGACGCCCTCAAAACGGTGCGCGAGTGTCATGCATGTCAGGAACACGCGGATAAGCACCACCATCCCGCCTCGGAGATGAAGGGAATTGTAGCCCATGGCCTTTCGCGA